TTTGTGAAAAGAGCTGGCTTGACTAAGAGGGCGTGGTTACACTGCAGACAGTTGCACTCTTTTGTTTTGTTTTGTTTGTTTGTTTTGATGCCTTGAGTGTCCTCTTAACACTTACAGGGTTTTCCACTTGCTTTGAATTGTCACAAATTAAATTCCAATAGAAAAAAATCTGAGCTTTGGCTATGGCTGATATTGAGATTTTTCAGAGCCAGCTATTTCTTCCTTACTTTTTCTATTTGGAATTAATCTGTGGAAATTGGGAGTAAATACACTTTGTGAATATAGCAAATTATTTTTATTTGACTATCGTATACTCTTTACAAACTTAAAGGACCACTATAGGCACCCAGACCACTTCAGCTTAATGAAGTGGTCTGGGTGCCAGGTCCAGCTAGGATTAACCCTTTCTTCTATAAACATAGCAGTTATGCTATGTTTATATTAGGGTTAATCCAGCCTCTAGTGGCTGTCTCATTGACAGCCGCTAGAGGCGCTTGCGTGCTTCTCACTGTGATTTTCACAGTGAAAAAACGCCAGCGTCCATAGGAAAGCATTGTGAATGCTTTCCTATGAGACTGGCTGAATGCGTGCGCGGCTCTTGCCGTGCATGCGCATTCAGCCGAGGATGAGGAGAGGAGGCAGAGAGGAGGAGAAGAGCTCCCTGCCTGGCGCTGGAAAAAGAGGTAAGTTTAACCCCTTCCTCACCCCAGAGCCCGGCAGGAGGGGGACCCTGAGGGTGGGGGCACTCTCAGGGCACTATAGTGCCAGGAAAACAAGTATGTTTTCCTGGCACTATAATGGTTCTTTAACTTCCATGCATTTGCTTATACATATATAAAAAAAAACATCAGTGTGACTTCTGCAAAAATGAAATTAATTATTATTTAGAATATGTATTCCAGAAAAGTGCAATTTTAACACGAATCCAGACAAAAAAAAATGAAATTTTTAAATTTAAAAGCCGCAATTTGAGAATAAAAAAAAACAAAACACAATTGTACTTTTCCCGCGTGTATAACGCTTGGTGATATACAAGCTGAACATGTAATGTCAACTCAGAGGTACATATAAAACTACATTTAAAATGAACATGTATACTTTTTTTTAAACAATATTCTTTATTGTTTCTCTTCCAGGAAACGATTTAACAACAGTTGGGTTTATGTGACATTTGTCAGGAGGTGTTAATATACAGAAACTCAAAAGGTGCCCCACAATGAGTGGGCGGGTATCAGCAATCAAGAAATAATTTATTTGCACTACATCGTAAAATATTCGGATGCTGCTTGTATAAGTTAATGCTGCATCTATTCGTTTATAAAGAGGTATATTTAGCTGGGGGTTGGGTGACGTGGTTAGTGTGTTCCCATGGCTGTTGTAAGTATGTGTCATAGGGAACTTAAAAATTATAAATCAAGCAGTTGACAGTCACAAGCACCTGCTTCTTGTCTCTGGCCGGACATGATATTACAGCGGACGTGAAGCAAAGACTTTTGTTACAGCAGTTGGACAGCCTGGGGTTAAGGTAATTGTCTTTATTTTTAACCAAATGTATTTACAAAACACAAATATGTTTCAAACAACGTGGATTCAGTAAAGTCATGGCTTTCTGTGGCTCTCCACCGTTTTTCTTAACAGGGATGATGAGACTTGTAGTCATTTACATGTTATCCATTTGGGAACTATAGAGACTTTTCAATAGTATTAGATGAAACTAATATCATTATGGCATTTTCTGTTAATGTTATATGTAGTGTGAAATTATGATAGATAGATAGATAGATAGATAGATGGATGGATAGATAGATAGATAGATGGATAGATAGATAATCAGACAGCAACTGTTGCATTTATTCAATCCTGATGGTCAAAAGGGTAAAATTGACCTTTCATCTGTCTGAGACGGGCAAAATTACTTCCCTACATTGGATAGTAGTTATGTTTATTGATTTGGAGGAAGTCCGAGCACTTTTTAAAAATTAGATTCTCACAGAGCAGTGTGTTTGTAAACACAATAAATGCTGTTTTCAGATTAAGACACTGTCTGCAACTGAAAAACTGGATTTTGTAGTTATCCTTTCTACACTGAATAACAATAAAAAAAAAATGTAATTTATTAATTTAGTCATTTTAAAATATTTTCTAGATACGTTTTCCCCATTGACCATTTACGTACTTTGCAATGGTAAATTTGCATGTATAGCAAATTAAAATCCCAATTGCAAAATATGGGCTAAAATAAATGAGCTGCGACTATAGGTAAAATAAATATCCCAAATCGGTATTTTTTGTCTAACATTTGCCACATGGATTTTAATTTGCTGCAGTTTGGATCTTAGTGAACACACTGCTTTACGTTGTACCAAATTCAGGAAGGTGAACTAGGACACCAGTTTTACCAATCATTTATGTGTGCAATATATTTACCTTTTTATACATAAAAATAATGAGAAAAATGCCCAAAAATATTGCTCGTTTTCTTGTCAAAATTAAAGACATTTCCTGCATTTAAACCTATTCAACCTATTTCTTTGGTGAAATATCGCAATGATTCCTGAATTTTCCAAATGTCTGTTTCACAAAGTCACATGATTGATAAGAACTTGCCGTATTATTCTAGTCGATACTATTACAGTACCAAGCCTTCTGCATTTTGCTCAGCTGTCACTAAGCAATAGAAGTGAGATGTTATCTGATAACCACAACAGACAAGAATGGGAGATTCCGCAACAAAACTACAATAAAACCCCCGGCTGCTGACTGATATTGGAATCATTTGTCAATGTCATATAACAATGAGACTAATTATTCTTCTATTGAATTCCCGATACATTAGTATATGATATCATAACTTAATAAACTTTATTTTTTCAATTAAACTAGGAATTGTGTCAGTATGGTAGATTTAACCCCTTAAGGACACAGCTTCAGAAGCTTGACTTACGCTTAATGACACAAGCAATTTTTGCATTTTCTTGCTGTTTGCGTTCAACTGCAATTTGCATCTCTCTCATTTATTGCACTGACACATATTATATACTGTTTTTTAAAGGACAGAAAGGGCTTTAATTTGATATAACATATATATATATATAAATGCTTACTTATTATAAAAAAAATACAGAAAAATGCAAAAAAAATGAAAAATATTGTTTTTTTTACAGTTTTTGCAATAATAATGTGTGCATAATTAGTGCAGGTTAAGGAAAGTAATTAAAAATAAATTTATTTATTTGTTCTGATTTACAGAATATATAATGTGTCTGGGATTTTAAGTTTTTTTTTGGTAGTTACAGGTCACAAAGCACAAGGAGTAAAATAAACTTTTAATGTGGAGCGATTTTAGAATTTGGTATGTTTGTCTTGTAAGCTTAATAGCCATAAAAGAAAACAAAATTGCCACACAAAAGTATATATTTATATAAAGTAGACATCACGGGCTATTTACCTAAGGTTGTTTTGACACTTTCTACGTAGCCATTTCACCGCCAACCTCTGCTAAATATTGGAGTAAAATTGTGTTCTTTTTGGTTTTTGGCACACAAACTTATAACAGAGAAATTCTCGTGTATATTTTGTAAAGTTGGTGTGTGCTATTCCTGTACAAAGTTTCATTTTGTGTTCAGTTACATCTGCTGAGTAAAATGACACCCCCATTGTATGTCTTTTGCACTATTTCGTGAAGTTACAGTGCCATACAGGATACCTGTCCTTTTCAGTATTCACAGTAGAATTTTGAGAGATGGATTTAATGAGCCTTAGCTTCCATTTTGGGGTATTATAACAGTTTGGCTGTTCAAAACCCCCCACAAAGGCCTACCATTTGTAAAAGTAGACACTCCAGGGTATCTTATAAGGTGCATATTGTGCCTTAACATGCCCCCATTTTTTCACCAATATATGCCAAAGTATGTGGTAAAAAATAATTTTGTGCATTTTTTTACATACGGATTGCATTTTTGCTGGGCGTTTTGTATATTTCATATGTGCCACTAAGTTCAAAACCCCCAAATTATGCTCAGCTAAGTCTTCTGAGTAAAATGACACCCCATATGAATGTCTTTGGCACTATTTCGTGAAACTACAGTGCCATATAGGAGACCTGTCCTTTACAGTATTCACAGTAGAATTTTGAGAGATGGATTTAATGAGCCTTAGCTTCCATTTGGGGTATTATAACAGTTTGACTGTTCAAAAATCCCCCACAAAGGCCTACCATTTGTAAAAGTTGACACTCCAGGGTATCTCATAAGGTGCATATTGTGCCTTAACATGCCCCCATTTTTTTCACCAATATATGCCAAAGTATGTGGTAAAAAATAATTTTGTGCATTTTTTACATACAGATTGCATTTTTGCTGGGCGTTTTGTATATTTCATATGTGCCACTAAGTTCAAACCCCCCAAATTATGCTCAGCTAAGTCTTCTGAGTAAAATGACACCCCATATGAATGTCTTTGGCACTATTTCGTGAAGTTACAGTGCCATACAGGATACCTGTCCTTTTCAGTATTCACAGTAGAATTTTGAGAGATGGATTTAATGAGCCTTAGCTTCCATTTTGGGGTATTATAACAGTTTGACTGTTCAAAAAAACCCCACAAAGGCCTACCATTTGTAAAAGTAGACACTCCAGGGTATCTCATAAGGTGCATATTGTGCCTTAACATGCCCCCATTTTTCACCAATATATGCCAAAGTATGTGGTAAAAAATAATTTTGTGCATTTTTTACATACGGATTGCATTTTTGCTGGGCATTTTGTATATTTCATATGTTCCACTAAGTTCAAACCCCCAAATTATGCTCAGCTAAGTCTTCTGAGTAAAATGACACCCCATATGAATGTCTTTGGCACTATTTCGTGAAGCTACAGTGCCATATAGGAGACCAAGCCATATCCGTTTTTACCAAACTTTGAATTTTGACGCTGGGCCTATGTGCAATTTCCAAGCATCTTCGCGGGTTTTAAATTCAATCTACCCCACAAAGGCCTACCATTTCTTAAAGTAGACACCCCAGGGTGTTTCAAAAGGTATAGTTTGAACCTTAGCGTGGGATCATTTTTCCGCTAGCTTGTGCCAGATGTAGTGGTAATAAGCGTTTTTTCTGCCTTTTTGACATACAAAGTGAGTTTGCACAGTATATTTTGCAAACCTTATGTGTGCTACGACTGTATAATACTTCATATGTTGCTCAGCTATGTCGGCTGAGTACAGCAATACCCCCGTATGTACCTTTGCCAGGTATGTGTGGACATCGGAGGGGCACATTTGGGACACAGCCATTCCAGTTTTTTTCAAACTTTGAATTTTTATGCTGTGCCTATGTCCCATTTTAGAGTATTTTACCAGGCTATATAATCCAAATTCCCCATAAAGCCATACCATTTCTTAAAGAAGACATCCCAGGGTATTTCAAAAAGGCATATTTTGAACCTCAGCGTGGGATCATTTTTCCGCTAGCTTGTACCAAGTGTAGTGGTAATAAGCATTTTTTCTGCCTTTTTGACATACAAAGTGAGTTTGTGCAGCATATTTTGCAAACCTTATGTGTGCTATGACTGTATAATACTTCATATGTTGCTCAGCTATGTCGGCTGAGTACAGCAATACCCTGTATGTACCTTTGCCAGGTATATGTGGATGTTGAAGGGGCGCATTTGAGACGCAGCCATTCAGTTTTTTTCTAACTTTGAAGTTTTACGCTGTGTCCATGTTCCAATTTGGAGTAGTTTAGACGGTTGGTTATTGAAACTTCCCCACAAACACATACTATTTATTAAAGAATACACCCTGGGGTAATTCAAAAGGCATATTTTGAACCTTGGCGTGGGATAATTTTTTCTCTAGTTTGCTCCAGGTGTAGTGGTAATGAGCGTTTTTAAAATGTATTTTTTTACTTTTTATAACTTTTTTTACTTTTAAAAACTAGTTTTTAAACTTTTGTTTTGCTTATAAATTTTTTTTAAACTTTCCTAAACTTTCTTAAAACTTTTTTACAGATTTAACATTTTTCTAAGCTATTTTTTTTACTGTTAACCCCTAACTAGCAGTACGCAGCACTAACAGTAAATTCCCCATTTTCCCATAACTCCCACCCACCCCAGCTAGCAAAATATATAGTTATAAAATATTTAAATTAATTAATTAAATAAATTGAACCCCTGAGGGTTAAAAAAATAAATAAAAGTTAATCCTCAGGGGTTAAAAAAAATTAGATCACAGTATAATACTGTGATCTCTATTTGATCGCTGTAGGCAGTGATCAACTGGCAGGGAAGGGGTTAATTTTTATTTGGACTAGGTAAAGTGTGTTTTTTTGTTTTTTTTTACTTAAATGTTATTAAAACATTTTTTTAAGCTTAATTTTTAACTTTTTAAAGTTTCTTTTAAAACTTTTTTTAACGTTAACCCCTAGTTAGCCTAACGCCAAATCCCCCAATTCCCCACTAACTTCCACCCACCCCAGCTATCTAAATATATAATTAAAAAATAATGTAATTAATTAATTTAATTAATTTAACCCCTGAGGGTTAAAAAAAAAAAAGAATTAACCCTCAGGGGTTAAAAAAAAAAATCAGATCATAGTAAAATGTAATCCCTGCCAATTGATCACTGTAGTCAGTGATCAATTGGCAGGGAAGGGGTTAATTTTTTATTAAAATGGGTAAGGGGGGGGGGACTTTAAATAAACTTTATTTTTTTTTTACAGCAGGGGGCAGGATCAGCACTGATCCGGCTCCCTGCACTTCACACAGAACCCGGAAGTGCAGGGAGCCGGTAGGTGAGTATAGAGAGCACATGTGCTCGCTCAGACTTGTGGTCAGAGCGAGCACATGTGCTGGGCAGCTTGACCGGGTGCTCCCGGTATGCCTCCAATACAGAGGCATACCGGGAGCACCATTAACCCCGCGATCGCCGCGATAGCGGCGATCCAGGGTTAATTTTACCGCGTGACGGACGAGGTCCGTCACCCTTCGTTAAGGGTCTCCCCTGTGTGACGGACCTCGTCCGTCACCCGTCCTGAAGGGGTTAAATGTGCATTTAAACTCCCTTGTAAACATATATTTTTTATTCTTAAAGGGACACTGTAGTCACCTAAACAACTTTAGTTTAATGAAGCAGTTTTAGTGTATAGATCATGCCTCTCAGGTTTCACTGCTATATTCACTGCCATTTAGGAGTTAAATCACTTTGTTTCTGTTTATGCCGCCCCAGACACACCTCCCCTGGCTATGATTGACACAACCTGCATGAAAAAAACTGGTTTCAATCAGATGTAATTTACCTTAAACAATTTTATCTCTTGCTCTGTAAATTGAACTTTAATCACATACAGGAGGCTCTTGCAGGGTCTAGCAAGCTATAAACATAGCAGGGGATAAGGAAATCTAAATTAAACAAGACTTGCAATAAAGGAAGGATAAACTTTAGATGACTCTTTACAGTAAGTGTTTAGGAAGGCTGTGCAAGTCACATGCAGGGAGGTGTGTCTAGGGTTAATAAACAAAGTGATTTAACTCCTACATGGCAGAGAATTGAGTATTGAGACTGCAGAGGCATGTTCTATACACCAAAACTGCTTCATTAAGCTAAAGTTGTTTTGGTGACCATAGTGTCCCTTTAAAGTTTATTTGCATAACATAATAATCTAAGTTGGAAAAACTAAATTCCACCAAGTTCAACCTTTCAGTTACTATTGTTAATCCAAAAGAAGGTGAAAAGGACAGTTTGGGGGGAAAAAAAGGGTATAATTCTTCTTGGCTCTCTAATATCAATCAGATTTCTCCTTGTTCCCAAGCATATTAACCTCTTTACTACCAAGCACTTTTTGTTTGAAACCAAGGATGCATAGCTAGTATACATATGTATCATATAATGATAATAATGTGCATATATAACTTTCCAAACATAAAAAAAAAATCCCATTATCTAAATTTGCACTATTTTTATTTATTTGTTTATCCTTTCTAGAAATTTTGGGGGAATAAAAATCTTTAGACATATTGCAGTATAAAAACAATACTACATTTTTTCTTGCAAACTGCAGGAGTGGCAAAAAAAGATAAAAAGAATAAAAACGGTCAAATATCCTGTTTATACATATTTGTAGGCACCAAGGTTAATATGAATTAATTTGCTCTTTTCTTCTCCCTGACTGCAAGGAATGACATGACTCATTGAAACATCTTTTACTGTTTGGCAGAAGATGGCCCGCTATATCTCTGAATATTTTGTTTTTGTTTTGTTTTTAAAAACACACTTAAATCTAGGCTTCAAGTTTTATTTAACACTGAATTATAGTGCATGAAAATAACGATTTGCAGCCAAGAAAAAAAATGCAAAATGTATGCTAAAATAGGAAATGGGTTAAAAAAAAACAAAAACAAAAAAAACAACAATAACAACAACAAAAACTCAGCTATAATTATATCTGTCAATGAAAGCACATGTACTAGGACCAGCAGACCATGCTGTACTTTAATCAGACAGCAAGGCAATAGTTACAATGGAAAGGTCGCATTTGCCTCACTGCATCTCATTTTAGCCTGTTTATAATATGTTTCTGTTAAACGGCATACAAAAAATAAAAAATGAGGCATTAATATTCTGGAAATGTAATCAAACAATGTTTTAGCTATATTACCCCTATTCTGTAGATCACCCATGCATTTCCCTTTCTTTATTCTGTACCCATCACGTATGCCTTAATAAAAGAAAGATTGACAAAAAAAAAGTAAGGGATGGGTGTAACATAGGAAACCTGTTTAACATGAAAGTCTTGAGGAGACAGCAGCCTAGTGATACCTCGTAGTAACCTAAAATGAGAACTACGATAATAACAGAGAACTACATAAGCTTGGCAAACTAAGAATTCGGACATGCAAAGGGTAGAGGTAAAACTTGCATTGCCGAGTAACATGCCTCAAATTCTAACTAAACTCATTACGGAGGCAAAAACAGCATGGAATCTAAAGACATAAATAAACCAAATACAGATACACAAAAATTTGTTCTGCGCTCAGACTCCCTCTACTCCTGGGCAGCGGCAATGACCAAAGTACACATCAGCCCCAATACATACAGTAAAAACTTTATAAATAAACTCAAAAAGACAAAACCTCTATCTCACAAATGGCAGATTAAAATGTTTTTGGACCTGTCCACTATATGAGATGCAGGAACAAAAGGAGCTATCCCAGAACCAAGCTTAAGTAGGTTGGGTCATGGGTAACGGCAAAATGGCCTTGGGCACAAATGGGACACAAAAAGGAGCATTGTACCAGTGCAGGAGGGCAGGAGGGCAGGAGGGCAGGAGGCAAATAGGAATACCCATGGACTGCAAAAAATTGGGCACAGTCAACCGATAACATTAAACTTTCCATTGGTTTCAGCTTGTAACTAGTGAGGGCGCCAGTCATGCACAACCTTATGGTTTTGTAGAATCTTGGTCAGGGGTGTAAAGACTGTCCCCACCGCACGATATGCCTTGATAAGTCACAAAAAATAGGAGCTGTGCACCCTCAAACGTAATTGTGGTAGAAATATGTTAAAACGCAACTATGTGGTCTTTTTGATGTTCATTGTTATTTATTTTTCTTCATTGTTTCTCTTTTATATCATATAGGATGAAACTTTGACAGATTGTAACTATGCCAAACACCATTGTTTTACATGCCTTGTAATCCTTTCTGTACCAAAACATTGATCTCTGAAATGTGATTTGGCTTTTGCACAGGCCTTCATGCAGTGGATATACCACAACTTCTGTCATTGCAAAAATTTTAAAAAGTAATCATGGTAGAACTTCTGATATCCCTCCAAGAGTACTGTTCTTCTGAGACCTTCTGGACCTTGGTGGGCCCTAGTGCCCTTGGTTAGACATACAAATCAGTCCAAGATGATTTGTTTCACCTGCTTGGGTATTAGTAGTGTGTAGAAGAGTCGTTACATGTAATACAGGAGTTCCTCTGCCACAATATTTATTTATAAAATATTTTACCAGGAAAGATACATTGAGATTTCTCTCGTTTTCAAGTATATCTTACAGCACCCCACAAATACAGAGGTTACAAGCCCTAGCCCCATCCTCAAAAATCACCTGCCTATTGTCAGTTCAGCTTGCCCTTCTGCAAAGCCGCAAGGGCTGCATTGGTGGCCAATTGTGCAACACAGACCCCTCTATCATTCTCCACCAACGCTTTGGAGCCTGTCAAAGTTGCCACCTCCTCCTGCGCAACCGCCACATTGGCCTAGAACAATGTCA